AACAATCAACAGCTGCTGTCTGGGGAAAGCCCCGATACCGCTGATGAAGGCTGGGTTTGGGAGGAAAAGGATCAGAGAGATTTTTGCCGTGTGGTTCTTTTAGACTTGGAATAGCCAATTACTTCAAATAATGATTATATAATGCAATATCTGACACCATTATTTATTCTTGTTTCTTTTTCACGAAAGAACAATAAATGTTAGATTTTTTTTTAATGTATTTCTTTATGGAGTTGTTTTTTATTTATTTATTTTTTAGACAATTTAATTTTTTTTTTTTAATACGTTGCTGTGCAAAAGCCTCGAGACCCTCCTCATTTCTGTGTTTAGGTTCCAAGGAGCCAGACTTAATGCTTTTACACACCGGATGCGTTACAAATATTTTTTGTCACCTGTTCATAATGTAATTGTTTTTATTTTACAATTTTTTTCAAATTAATTTTTAAATCAGCTCGATATTTCCAAATAAATAGATCTGACCAATCAGACCGTTGCATTTGGCAAAAAGTGTGCTCATACTAAAAAATGCACACCGCTACTGGATATATAAAGATTTGGAAATAGTAAAATAAAACTGTTTTACTTCACACACAAGTGGGATTTCAAATCGTATCATTTGTTCCAGTTTCTTTAGCTGAATCTACGAAAAATGTCACAGATAACAATTTGGTTGCCGTAAAATGTTGGGAATCCCAAAAACCTGGGATGTCTCATTTCATGTTTTTGAAAAAACTTGAGGATACTGGACAAGTGGAGGGCAAAAGAAGAAGTGCTGGGCCGTTTTTAAGATGAAAAATGTGCATCAGATGAACAGTGTCTGAAAATCATGTCCTAAAGAAATGGGAGTAACACATTCTTCTTAAGAGTGTGGAACTGATCATTGCAACGTGCCATGTAGTGTTTTGGCAGATGTGGGTGTTACTCTTGTTAATAAGGGAGCTGTTAGAAATTCCACAAGGGGAAAGTTCACAGTGTTTCCATTGTCACAACTGTAGGAAATGGAAGGGTGATGTGTTAAGAGGCTGCTAGCATGCCAGCACCTGCAGCTTTCACACAGCGTATTTTTATTCCAGAATAATGTCTTTGGTGTTTGGATTTTAGAGTGCGTCATGTTCTGTCACTTCAGCGGGAAGTGGGATCACTCACGACATTCACAGTGGCTACACTGTTTGAGGACTATCAGTCTCAAAAATGTCTGTAAATCAACTCACCGGTTGCCATTGTTACTGCATCAGTTACTGGTTATTTTGGGGTGGGGGTCGGGGGTTCTACTTCTTTCACTGACAGGCTTACTATTAATTATTATCTACAGGAACCAAATAACTATTGCAGCTGGTAGGTACAGGGTTTTCCCATGTAGTTTCCTCATAAGCTCAATATGTTTACCGTCAGGTATGTTGTTACACAGATTTCGTACGTCACTCTGCGCATGAATGATTTATGGCTTTGTCCTGCCGCTAACTGTCATTCCTCATAATCAGAGTGTTTTTCTTTTTTCCTGGACAAATGAAAAAAGAAAAATGGCTCCGTTTCCTCTTATGCAGTTCAAATTCAACAGCAGCGCAGTTGTGGCAAACAGCCTGTGGAGTTTACCTGCATTGCCTAATTGGCTAACAGCGTGGGATTAGGAAAATAATTTAAGCACCTTACTTTCTACTCCCATTTGACAGTTGGATTACGTTTAGCCAATTAAAGCACCTAATCCTTATAGTCTGCGGTTCATTCCCCAAAAGTATCCCTCCAACATGAAAGCCAGCTTTGGTCATTCTTTTGTCTTTTTCTGGCTTTAATTTACAGAGTTTGCATAAGAAGTTGTCACATTGGCAGCTATAAGTAAAAGGTTTTTCTGTATTTACCTGAAATCTAAGTTGAAAACGTGTACCTGTGTATGAAATTTGACTTCCGAAAGAATTTCGGGGTGTGATGTTTAAATTTTGTAGCACTTTTCAAATAAAAAAACTCTTTTTCGTGCTGCTTCTCAATCATTATCTGAGAGCTAATCATGTCGCAGATTCGTGGCCTAGCTGTCATTTTTAAAAGCTTGCTGCTCAGTTGAAAAATGCCCTCTATCAAGTTCAGAACACTTCACATGAATGTAAACACTCAATTTGTTCAACAACTCAAGGGGCTGTGCTTTCTGCACCATGGAGTCAAAAAGCAGTAAGGCTAGAGTTGCGTAGCAGGTGCTCACACCTGGGGCTCTGGTAAATCACTCTCAGATGGGGGAATCTCTAAATGCCCCTGACACCTGAGCAAAGACATCGTATTGTATTATTCAAGATTTATTTCAAGCATCGTAACTATTTATTTGGCTTAATGTGACTTTGTGGTATCCACCTCCTTCAGACATTTTGGTTTTACGTGTTTGAATTTACAAAGGAAACTGAATGAGTTGCATTAAAATGTTTGATGTTGGAAAACTTGTGTTATGTCACGCAGATTCTCAAAATAGCATTTATGGGGAAAATAATTGCCAGGTAGGTAGAACAAAGCTTATTTCCGTGTAGCTTGCCAGCATCATAATTATAACTTTCAGATATCAGAAACAGCTTTCAGCTTCTCTTTTTTGGGGGGCTTTTATAGCTCGTGTTTCTAAAAGCAAGTTGGGACGCCTTTAAAAAAGTGAATAAAAATGGAACGCATTGAAATGAGTACAAAGACAGCACATCGAATGTTGTCCCATCATTGCAGGATCCTTTTTTATAAGGAAGGACGTGGACGTGTTTACGGCCGCGGTGCATGACCTCATCCTATAGCAGCCCTCTTAAGTGTTAACTCAAAATAAACAAAACGTTTCCCAATCCTTCGTGTCGGATTTAATCTGCAATAGGTCCGACCTCCTTTGCGGTATTTTCCTGCCATCATACTTTCCAATGCTGGCAGGTCTGTACTGCAAACATGCCAGTTTAGATGGAGCCATGCTGGCATTAAACATGCTGGATGTGCTTTGGTGTTGTCTTGCTGAAATAGGGAAGACCTTCCTTTGTCTGCATATGTTGCTGAAAACCTGTATTTATTGTTAAACGTCGATGATGCCATCACAGATGTGCAAGATATCCATGCTTTGTGAACGAATATGCCCTCATGCCGTCACAAATGCTGGCTCTTGAATTGTGACGATGAACTGTCCATGATTTTTGAAAACAATTTAAAATTCTGATTAATCATACCCCAAAACAGTTTGGCTGTTTACTAGTTAAGAGTTAAAGCTTACTAGTAGTAAACCTTGAAGCTCTGAGCTGAGCCTCCTCCTGTTTCAGGCTAGCTTATAGACCGAAATGACTGGATTTGCATCAGTAGCTGGTGAGGATTGTCTCGTTCCTTGCAGCTACTCTCAGAAAACCCCAGAAACTATTCCAATGGTCGTCAAACCATGTCTTTATTGATCTATACCCAGGTGTCAAAAGTTGTCAATTAGGGGTCCAGGAGAGATCGTCAGATGTTATGAGACGAAAGAGTTAAATGCATGTGTAGTTTTAACATGTATATGTGGATGCGACAAGACCAAACCATATCTAAACATTTAAACCTTCTCTGAATCTTTTCAATTAGAAACAATACTCTTACATTCGCCCTCTCACAGGGTTGTGCCCCTCTGAATTTACTACTATTTTTAAAGTGGCGTTGTGAGTTATCAGAAATTGTACATCCTGTCTCTTTCACCCTGCTGATTTTACATTTTTACACACATAGCATTGCTGAAAATACCCAGGATGCAACTGTGCAAGTCCAGTAAATTTGTAATTTCCACATAGACCCATTAGAAACTGGAGCTGAGATCCCAAATGTCATCTGTTGCTAAAGCTCACTGTGACACAGATAAAGTGCTGGCCTGATTACCGCTGATGTCACCTTCAGGAAGGATGGATGCTGGAATACACGTACACACCACACATGTATACAACAAACACAGACACTAGCTCAGCAGTATTTTCTTCTGGTTTTGTGGATTAGTCACCTGTAAGCTGTATGTGAAGTCTGACTAAGAGCATGATGTATGTTTTAAACTCTTAGAAGCAGTTCGATTGAGCAAAAGGAAAAAAGCGGGGAGGAAAAAAACTGTAATTTTGTACATTTATTGTAAGTAATATGTTTAGCTTTCATTTAATAAAAGCATTAGGCTACTAACATCGCAATAATATGAAGTCCAGTTTGAAGAGCGTTTTTAATAAAAGAAGACTAGACCTAGACTGCAAATCCCTGTTTTGATTTAAAATGCATGCAAATAGCATTGCAGCTTGCGAGTGCATCAGTAGGATTCCAAATTACTGGGGAACATTGAATTACTCTGAAAAGCTATCCCTCATAAGCCACTAATTATGGAAATTGACAGTTACAGAGATTTGTTGAGGATTTGGATATTGTCTGATTTCCACAGTGGCTGCAAGACTCTGAGGAATAAACCCAATTTTACTCTTTAAAAATAAATAAATAACTGTTGCTGAGAAATAAGTAAATGCTTGTCAGGCTGAAGATGATATCTCTGTTGTTTCAATCGAACACAATAAAAGAGAGCACACTGAAGTATGGAGTTGGTTACACGTCACACATCCGCATACACTGGTGTTTCTGTCCTCGCAGCACAAGCTTTTAATGTTAATAAAATAAAGATGTGTTGGTTCTCTGCCTCGTTTTTAATATACAGTCTCTTTTCTCGTGAATATTGCCAAGTAAACTAGAAAATGTGTGTGTCTGTAATAAATATTGAAAATTGAATGACTCACAGATCATAGCAGCAATCAGGTAAATTGTCTCAGAGGGTGGGCTGGAAGCATGGGAGTGAGCGCAAACTCCCTCTCCTGCAGGGAGTCGATCCCCTGGTACAAAGTACCTTCTAATCAAACAGCTTAAATGCAGTTTTCTCAGTGATGTGGAAATAACTGTGTATTGCTGTAAGCCTTTTGTCAATGAAAAGTGTATTAAAGCACTGTAAACGTGGTATGAAAGTACATCAGTTCTAATGATTTTCTTCTTCTACTTTTTTTTTTAAACCCTTGCAGCTGTCCCCTTCCCCCCCAGTCACCGACTGACAGCTAAAGAGGTGTTTGACAGCGATGGGAAGCCCAAAGTGGACGTGCTGAAAGCTCACCTAACCAAGGAGGGCCGTGTGGATGAGGCGGTGGCGCTCAGGCTCATAGGAGAGGGCGCCGCAATCTTGCGTTCAGAGAAGAACCTGCTGGACATTGAGGCTCCTGTGACAGGTCAGGGTTCAAATACTGCATGTGTTACTGCAAACCAGTAATCGACCAATAAAAAGTGAATAATTTTGTTTCACTCCAGAAATAGTAGTCAGAGTAATTATTCAGTAGTCAGCTGATGCATCTAAGATTGTATGCAGTCACCCGCAACTAGCCAGTGCTGCAGCCCTACGACTTTACCAAACTGGACACCAGGGTGTATGTCACTCATTTGTTCTCTACTGCTGCAAAAGTGACAGGAAGTTGTAACCAAGCACAGTGAAAAGTAAGACATGACTGTCACGTAAATAATGCAAAACGACATTGTGCATGTGAAAGTTAACCTGTGGGCAAGGTAGGTTGTGCCAGCACTGAAATGGGTGTGTGCTATGTTGTGTGCAACACATTTCAACATCTTTTGAAACAGCAGATTTACTGAAGAAGGCTCACCAGTTTGTCTTTTGGGTTATAATTTTTAGACAATAATGGAAGATTTGTTGAGCTATTTATTTTTGTCTGCAAAACTTTCAGGATTTATATTCATAGTCTAATGCAAAGATGTCACTGTGCACTTATAGAAATTTAAAAGGGAATCATTGATTAATTGATGATCAGAAATGACGAAACGCAACTGCTTGTCTAGACTCACAAACTACAGCCTTTCCAAGAGGGAACACTTGGGTGGACACCACTCATATACTCTTTATTCCACAAAATCCTGCATATCATGACCTACATTCATTTTTCTTTTTACTTTTTCTCTTGTCTTTTTTAGGCTCCATATATCTAAAATGCAAACCTTAGAACCGGCCCACAACTATAAGAAGAAACAGACTCATTCATCATCATTTACCTTAACAAACAACAGATGATGATTCACTTACAGACACTTCCCAGCATGTTTCGCACTGTGTATTCCAAGTATTCCACCTTCCCAAACAAACGGCAGCTCACAGTAACCTACAATAACTGTTTGTTTTATTTATTTGCAGGTATAAACAATATACAGATACAAGATTTTAAAATCAAACCGACACAATGGAAGAGAGAGCTGAATGTTTACAGCAGTATAAAACTTAATTTTCCTAATTAACTGAGTCACTGTTTTACCAAGCCACACGCGGGCCATGCCGATAACTAGAGCAGTGTATTTTTAAGAAACACTGCTTCAGTTCATCCAATTTGGCAAAGCTAACGAGCAGTGTTGCATTCAGTTACTAGGCTGAGTCTCAAAGCAATGCAGAGGGACGTTATTGAAAACATCTGCTAACTTTGGAGAGAGGTAGTATGACACATCGATCGTTGTTGTTTTAAAATCGCTTATTAGTCATTGTAGTTTTGAAAAAATGTCATTTTCATTTCATTTGCTTGGTTTAGCTAACAGCTTTTACATTCAAAGCTGCTAGTAACTGAAGCTTAGCTCATTCACCCCCGTCACACGCTGCTGCGGGAGGTTCGCTGATGCATATGCACAAATGCCCTGTTCCTCCATTAGACTTTCTGATGAGGCTTCTTTGATGTTGTCGTAATCAGAGGCAGAGACACACTCATAGGATCTATGGCAACCAAACATTTCCTAATGTGAGATCATTCCCACAATATCATCCAGAGAGGCCTGTGTTCATATTTAGCAGGCATGGCACTTACTTAAATTCATAAATGCAAATACCCCCTTTTTTTTTAAAAGCTGTTCATTGTTTTGTCTTAATGGATGTAGACCGTTATGATAACCCTTGCTGTTCGAGAGAGTTGAGGTAAACAAAAAGATGCAAACAGACTGCATGTTTTCCACGTCTGTCTTTGTGTTTGCAGGCACCTGAGAGCTGTAAGGTTAACAGATGTGTTGTTGAACACAGCTAGATTCCTCCAGTTTGAGCTAAAACTAACTAAGTGCATATTCAGCTGTTTGTGAAAATTAAACACAAGTTCATTCTCTGGGCGTCTAAATAGGGGTTAGAGGGTTAGGGGTTAACCCTAACCCATTTTAAATCTGACGCTCTAGGTGTTTAAAAACAAAAAACACAAAATGTGGTGCTGGGACAAATTGGATAACTAGCATGGATAAACCTTATTCGATTTTCTGGCTTAATCTGATCGCAGGGTGGATTCCTGTGTGTAAACATGCTCCAGTGGTGACCTTCCCCGGTCAAGTCGCCTTTTTAAAATCTGGTGCAAGTTAACATGTTTTGGTTTCAGATTTTACAGCACTTCAAATAAGGGATTTGCCAGGAAAGCCTCCTCTCTTTGTTGTGTTACATGGAAACAGTGGACAGCTTCTCCTCCGTGTGCAAGCCACAGATCCCGAGGAGTGGTGCGCGTTCGGTGCACTTGTGTACACGAGTGCAGCGATGAACCGGTTCTTTCCCTCCCACTCAACACCCCTGCCTCAACCCCTCTCCCACTCAGTAGGCTTGGACAAGGATTTCTCTGTTGCGCGTACTCATGCGCCTGCTGTGTTTCCCTCTCCGTGCGCACTCCTGTTTGCTATAAGCATTTCTTTGTTTTTGCTCCCATTCCCTCTCTGCCTGCCATGTTTTGACTGTCTGTGTCACGGTCAGGAGCTGTTTCTCTCTGCCTCTCTCCGCGTTAGCAGGCCTCCCAATTCCAACATGACACATGGTCAGTGAATTAGTATGTAAATATTTATCATGGATGCAAAGCACCACGACATGTCAGCTACCTCTCTCTCTCATAGTTACTTCCTTGTTGGGCCAGATGGCAGGTGGGGTATTTCATGAAAGGGAGGGGTGTGTGTGTGTGATGAACGGTGCTGGCTTAGTGTACTGAGTACAAGCTGCTCTCATGGCCTTCACACAAGTCACCCATCAATAGAGCTCCTACAGCCACATCACCAGGCAACAGCCAGCTTTTAAACTATTCATACACATTTGCAGTGTGTGAGCTCCACTTTGCGCAGGGGCTCTGTCATGGTTTCCTTGAACAAATGATCTTTTAATTCTTTTTGTTGTGTGTTGATGTAACACTACATAGCTGAGTATAAAATGTTCTAAGTTTCCCTGCATCTTCCTTTAGCTGTTCGTGTTTGATAAGATTAGAAATAAATTCGAGAAATCTGCAAAGCATAGTTGGTCAGGAAATATTAAGACCTTGGTTGTGGAATTTCCTGTATAGAGCTTAAAAAGCCTCCTCCTAGACCCTGGTGAGAGTGGCAGTTTTATGCGCATAATGTGAAGTGTTTGCTCTGTGCAGCATTACAAGGTTGTTGAATATTTCCAATAGGTTCTTATGCAACAGTCTTATAATGAGAAATGCACTTGTATGGACATTAGAGCAAGGTGGATAGCATGTATGGTATTTGTACGTATGGGCCCTGCTTTATTTTGTAAAATGTGACAGCCAATGTAAACACGAAAAACAATTAGAAGATATTTTCTTTGTAGATTAGCAATCCTACAAGTTTACTGCAAGCCATGCAGTGCAGTGTTTCCCAGAGAGCTGCATAGTATTTATGGCAGTAGTAGGTATTGGGTGCACTCCAATGCTTTTAAATTGAAAAGAGAATTTATTGTGTAGTCAGTGTAGGCAAGACAGAATACATGTGTGTGAATGACAGGAAGACAGGTGGGAAGGTGAAGTTGGAGGAGTTTAAATATGTGTCAGCTATCCAAAGTAACGAACAGTGCACGAGAGAGGTGAAGAGAGTACAAGGGGTGGAGCGGGTGGAGATGAGTGTCGGGGTAGTGAGACCTGCTATGATGTATGGTTAGGAGATTGTGGCACTGACAAAAAGACGGGAGGCCGAGCAGAGATGAAGCTGCTCATATGTTTATTGCAAATGAGCAACAGAGGGGCAGCTTAGGTTCAGTGGTCTGGAGACAGAGTTAAAGAAGTATGGCTGAGGTTTCAATATGTACTGATATACATATACTGGGCTTTGGTAAGATTCCACCCTCTAAATGGAGGAGGAAAGCAGAAGTTCCTCATCCAGTGAATGCTTGAACTGCAGCTGGTCACAATAGTCCCTGCTTTGCTGTGCAGCTTTGGATCTCGGCATAAAACAGGGATTACTCTGGCCGACTCCAGTTTAGGATAGTGCAGTTGGCATCAGTCTGATCCTGGGAGACCTGAGACAGCTTAATGACATTAAGGACTGCTTCAGTAGCAGCTTAAACAGCCCGCCAGTAGGAAACGCAGTAAAGAAAAGAACTAGTTAATTAGCAGTGACTGAACCTCCACTAATTCATCCACTAAAGACGTAAATTACAAAGCCAGTGGTATACATCACCTGCCCATGTAGAATATATGTGTGGGAAACCATGCTGTGCATTTCATTGTAAGATCTACTCAATCATAGGCTGGAATTCCTCGATGTCCTCCTCAGCTCAATCCTGATAGCCGCTTGAAGAAACATTGTATAAACAAGGGTCCTTCTGACACGGGTCAGCTGTAATTTATTTTTGAATGTGTTTTGATTAGGACATTTATTTCCATCGTGGTGAGACCATTACAAAGGTCACCCCAAAGCCTGCTCTGTCATCCAGTGGGGATGACTGTTTTGGAGCCACAGTTTTGTCTGATCTTTTGGTCGGGGCTAATCCGATCATGGAAAGGTGTTTTGTTTTTCCCCCTATGTGAAGTAAATTAATATTGACATTTTCAGGGTTTGGTTTTTTTCTTTCTTTGATTTCTGAGGTCATCATTGATAATATTTGTCAATACTGTCAAGAAAAAATCCATTATTAGCAAATCTCCATGGATATGGATGTGAAGGGTTATGTTTTTTAATAGTTGGGAACTATTTGTATTATATCCAGACAAAATGAATCTAAATCTGACTGAAATATATATAATATGTTCAATATTTAGTTTTGCTGCTTTACTTTAATGGCAGCTTTCACAATATTGCATTCAAATTGATGTTTAGAACAGATTGCGTTTTTCATAAATGCGGGCTAAAACCGGGGGTATTGTTATCATCCAATCTCAATCAAAACACGATCTGACACAGTCTGTATCACAGTGGATTTCACTCGCTCAATGAGCGCGCCCTTTGGAGTGGCTTG